AGCAATACTTATTTTTAGCCGCGGGCGGCTGTCTCGGTCTTTAAGGGTTAAAACCGTTGATATGCAATTGTTCATGGTATGATAATCGTGCACGTTCAAATCGTGGTAAACCGTCATACCGGTATATTGTTACAACCCTAGCTGTACTTGTAGTACTTGTAGTAGTGGTAATAGTTGATGCTGTTGTACTTGTACTTGTAGTTGTAGTAGTAGATTTAGTATTAGCTTTTTTATTATTATTTCATACGAAAAAATGAACTGTATTGTTTTTTTAGACACTCCTAATAATGTTCCTAAACCCTGGTGCAAGTAACACAAATTGTGTAATATTTATATCAAATCATTATTATTTTAGAATGGTTTAGATTAACTTTAATTTCTTTCAGCTTCTTCATTTCATGCAGCAGGCAGTAAATGGTTTGAGATGAAAAGATTCTGCCTCTGTTCTTCTCCATCTTTATCTTTCTCTCTCAGTCATCTAAAACCCCAAGACAGGCTGTCCTCAAAAATCCCAATCGAGGGAGTCACCCCGCAACCAAAGAAAACAAGTAAACTACACAAGCATCCTGAATAAAGCCATTTGGAGAGGCCAAAACTAGTCAGTCCACCAGAGACAAAGTCGATCCATCATATATCCGCGCCGCTGTGATGAAACTCACTCCAGTGTAAACCAAATTCAAAAGCTGTTTTCTCAACTTCAGAGCCGTATTGATTTTGAACAAAGTTTTCGCTCAAAGCTCTCAGGTGCTTTGCGGTTTCTGCTTGCTTAATGCAGAAACAGAGTAAAACATGGGTTTCCATAATCCTTTGGGTGTGAAAATAAAGCTCCTCAGGGGTAAAGAGGACTTGGGCAGTGATTTGATCACTTTAATGACCTTCAGCAAACTTGAATGGATGAGGATTTGTTTGTTGGTTCCACTCAAGGTACTTGAAACTGTAGATAAGTAAATGTAAATACCATATTTAGCTGCTTCAGACATGTTGACATATCTGCCATTTTGAAATGGTCAACATGTCATCATTTATTTAAAATTATTTCTTGAAATCCCACTATTGTTGTTGAAATAATAGTGTAAAAGTATTACAGGTATTTACTCATTGGTTATTTCTAAGCATTGTTAGTTAGCATTGCGTGTCATGCTGTAATGTGTTAGTTTGGCAAAATCATCTGCTGAAGTCTATATATTGATATGCATTATCACGTTTTACAAATTAGACATAACTGTCCTTAAATGTTTTACATGTGTTTAAAATTAAAATTCATAATGTTTATTTGGCTAGCGCATACTGTTATTCTTTAGGTGGTCATTTAATCTGAGAGTTCTGAGTTTGTGGTGGCTGTCCTTATCTTTTGATAATGGTTTGCTGGAGTCAGCCACAATATACTTAACCACGCCCCTCTTACTGATATTATGCTGCTTGGGAATGTTGCGCAAAAAGAAATCTCCGCCCTCTACACCATATTCTGTTTACATGGCCCATCCAGACAATACCGTATATACTCTGGAAAAATTTTTGATTTTTTTTCTGACTTAATATTACAATTTAATATTAATATTAATTATTATTATTATTATTATTATTGTTATTATTGTTGTTGTTATCATCATCATCATTATTATTATTATTATTATTAAAACATGCTGCAAAGCTTTTTTGAGTTGACTATACTTTTAACCCAAGTACTGCACTTGACTCGATTCAAGTTGTGTCAACTTAAAAAGCTCTACAGCAAGTTGCCTTACAAGTTGAGTCAACTTTTTTTTTACAGCGTAGTTTAAAATTACATCAAATTTAAATCAAAAACCAACATCAAAAGTTCTCAGCGCAGAGATTTTAAAACCATAAAAAGCATAAACTACAAATAACGGATACTTATACAGTGTGAAAACATCATTACTATGAGAAATGAGCAATAAGGAAGAGTTTATCTTGTCAGCGTCACATTGTGCGCACATCATTTCCAGGTGGGAAACAGGGAAATCTTCTCGGTCAGGGGTCGAAGGACAGAGACATGATTAAACTCAGTCCTTTCCCCTGCTGTGCTGACCTTCCTTGACCTTTTCTGACCTCTTTCACAAACTCACAGGGTCACAGAGCCTGACAAAACTGACTTTTTGTGCGCATGCGTGCATGCATGCATGTTTTAGTGTATGTTTGTGTACACTCAGAGTTACAGGTCCCTACTTTGCATGTTTTGTTGTGCAATTTATTAATTTATTATTTCCATATACAGGTCAAAAGATTGGGGTCATGTTTTGATTCACGTTTTTTTGATAAGAAATTTATTCTGTTCATCAAGACAGCATTTATTAAATGTAAAAAAAGTTGTTGAATTGTTAAATATTTATTTATTAAATATTCATCTATTACTTATTGTATGTAGTTTCAAGTGAAATTATTATCGATTTTATTACTATTATCATTAGTAATAATAATAATAATAATAATAATAATAATAGTTAATATTAGAGTGATTTCTGAAGGATCATGAGACTGAAGACTGGAGTAATGAAGTCGAAAATGTATCATTAAAATCACTGGAATAAATTATTAAATTAAATTATAATCTACTTTTGAACTTTTGTTATTTTATAGTGCAAGAAGATTACTCAGTTTCAAAATTTTTACTGTATTTTTGATTAAATAAATGCAGCCTTGGTGAGCAGGATAAGCTTTTTTAAAACATTTTAAAAATCCTACTGACAGTCGATAATTTTCTATATATATATATATATATATATTTCTATATATATATATATATATATATATATATTATCAATCAAAATACTGAAGAAATTAAAATTACATTACAAACAGTTTTTTAAATATATATATATATATATATATATATATATATATATATATATATATATATATATATATATATATATATATATATATATATATATTTTTTTTTTTTTTTTTTTTTTTTTTTACTGTTTTTAATGTCATTTATTTTCTTCAGAATTACAAAAACCTTGGTCCCCTCTTGGCCATAGTAGAGTAATGTCCCTCTTATTAACATAGACATGTGTTGTGTGATGGAGTTTTTCAGCTGCGTTATTGAATTCTCTCATTTCCGCCATTAATCAGGCTTAGAATCGGCTCTCGAACACCTCAGAGACGTCAGAACAGCAGTGTGTCTGTTGTCTCTCTGATGTCATGCTCAGATTATGGGGTTGGGGGTGCGGCACAGGCATGTGTATGTGTGTGTGTGTTCAGAGGAAAGGGGGTGAAGCAGGATATTGCTTTAGAGTGATAACACAACCTCAGCGGAAGACACTGAGACGTGTTTTGTCAGGAACTTAAAGCTTATCGCTGTGCTAAATCTATATTTGATATAATAATAATAATAATAATAATAATAATAATAATAAATTGTAAACAAGGAGCAAATCAAAATCAAAAGGTTAAGTTTAATAAAATTTAGTGTTAGTGAGATTTATTTATTTATTTAAGCAAAAACTGATTGAAAAAAAGCAGTAAACACTGAAAAATAATTTAGCTTTAAAAAAAAATTTCTATTCATCAAAGAATCCTGTCACAGAAATGATAGCAGCACAATTATTACAGTACACAACTATTAAAATGATTTCTGAAAGTAGTTTGGCTTTGAATATTGGAGTAATGATGCGAAAAAATCTGCTTGAATACTGAAATTCAACATGATGAATATAACGGTTATAACTGTTATTTAAACTTGCAATAATTCAGAAAAATACATAATTTTTCCGCTGTATTTTTTATCAAATGCTGTCCTCGTGCATATACGAGATTTTTTTCAAAAGCATTAAGCACTTTTTTTTTTAGAAACCCCTTTATCTGACCCTTTACTCCCCTTTGCATAGATTATGCAGGTCAAGTGTCCCATGAGACAGCTTTCTTTATTTCTTTCACAGTCTCGACATGGTGTAAGTTCACAAACATCCATGTCTAACATTAAACAGCACTGTCTTGGTATATTGTAGGCATCTCTGTGAGTGCAATGCATTGATTTAAAGTTACACTTCGCTGCGCTGGGGATTTAAATTATGAAGAATAAATACAAATATATCACTTTTTGCAGCTGGCCTACAGATAACGGCATGCATGGTTAATCAGGTGAATCATGGGTTTGATAATGCCTCTCAGACCACAGCCAAAATGATTTGTATTGAGATTTTTTTTCTTTTCTTTTTTTTTCATTATATGCACTACCAAGCAAAAAGTCACAAAAGTTAGGAGTTGTTAATGTTTTCTTTTTAAGAAGTTTCTTCTACTTACCAAGGCTGCATTATGTGTACAAAATTACAATCAAAACTGTAGTAGTTCTAATATTACTTCAGTTAAAAATGGACTACAGTATATACACTGTTTTAAACATATTTTTAAGTGTAATTATTACCGATTCAAACCTGAATTTTCAGTATCTCATGATCCTTCAGTAATCATTTATATATTTTGTATTGCAATATTTTGCTGGAAAATATATATATATATATATATATTTTTTTTTTTTTTTTGTTTCACTATAAAAAATGCTTGCCTAATTAATATGCTTGAAAGGGTTAAAATAATAACAAATAAACTTAATATATTCAATACAATACCACATTTCTGTTCTTGTAATCATTACTCTTAATTACTGAAATATGTCTATTTATTCTTGTATGTAAGTAACTGTATATAAGAACTAAATTCCATGCAAATCTCATTGCAACAAAAAAAAATCCTATTTTAGTTTGTGCTATAAGGCTATAGTGCAAAAATGTTTTCGATGTTTGTGCCAGAGCCCTGTTAAATTTTTAAAGTGAACACAAGGAAAACCTCATGGAGTTATTCATGCAGTCCAACTGTGCAATTATAGCAGCATAAGGCACTGGAATTCCTGAACGCATTTCCTGCTGCTCCAGTGAACATTATACATCAGTTCAAAGTTCAGAAATGAAAAATGAAAGATTCCGTGAAAACCTCACCCTGAAGAGATTCCTTATACGCCGTGTTTGTTTTCATTTCAGGGTCAAAAAACGGAAGCAGAGAAGTTCTTTCTCAAGGCGATTGAGCTGGACCCTACTAAAGGAAACTGCTACATGCATTATGGTTAGTAATGCTTTATTTTATCTCTCCAAAACATGCGCTACATATAAAATGAGCTAATACATATGAAAGAATGAGGTCATATGAATCCACACATAGGCTTTACTGAAATGCAGTGTGCTTCACTAAAAAAGGCTATGGATGTTTTTATTTTTTATTGTTCAACTTTTTGTCCTACTGCTCAAAATATTAACAAAAAAAATAAGATGCTTATATTTGTTTTTCTGATATTAGAAATTGCTTCTTTTTTACCATTTCAAAATGTTGTGGTAATTTAGTTCAAATTGTAGATCTGGAGACTTTCTGACCCTAAAACCTGACTAACTTTTGTAATTCTCCAGCTGTAATTCTTGGAGGTTACTGGGTCACTCAAACTGTCCTCCTAACAGTGATAAAGATAGACAAAGATCCTCTTCCTGGCTGATTCATAACACCGAGGAATTTGGAATTGCTTCATTATTGTCATGCGTTTTTAGTTTTGCTGTTTTTCTTATAGCCAATACCCATTTTGTGAAGCTCAACAAGCTTTTCCTGCAAAATCACAGGCTTCTTTTTGATCTTACCTATTTGTAGTGAATGACAGAGTGAGTTTCAAATTAAAGACTAAAGTATACACGAGATATTTCACTCGTGTAATTTTGAATGGGGAAAAGTGCAACGATCGATATGGAGAATGAAGCCCTGCATACTAGTACAGGAGCCGATCAGTAATCGATATAGACTGATATTTCTGTGGGTAAAAGCTCGAAACAGACGTGTGCTTATACGACAGTTTGGTGGTCAACAAACACACTGGTATCTCAGAGAATAATTGTTTTACAGACATAAGAAATATGTCCAAATTAAGCTTGAAAGCTCTACTTTTAAATAAACCAAGTGCACTGGTTTTTTAAATCTGTAATTAGTATGAAACGAACAAGAGGTATAGTCCATGTTGTCAAACGCACACCTCATGACAGTAACTACTCAAACGCCCACAAACTTGTAAACAAAAAGTCACTTTGATTTCTGGTGGAGATTCACCATCAAAACCAAGTTGTGGATTACTTCAGATGAGCATCGTGATCAGACAATCATTATCCAGAGGATGATAATATGTAGAACGTCCATGAATGAGGTTGGTGTCGTGATCTCGTTGTTTTCGAGTGCGCATAAGCTCAGGCAACCTCAAAACATGCAGTTGATTCATTGAGTCATTTTGTTTGATTCGGTCATTTATAAACGAAACTAAAGAGACAGTTGTTGTTTAATTTTATTGATGATTCCAAATATGTAATGTAATCATAAGCTTGGCAAACAGTTTGAAAGAAATTGATGTTTCCCCTTTCAGACAGAATGCCCGAGCATAAAAAGATGGCCATTGAGTGAAACGACTTGCCTTAAAGGGACTTTGGTTTCAATCCTCATATTGATAGACATTATTTTAGATATTAAATGTGATATAAATGTGTTTTTAGCAGTGTTGGGCATGTTAGTTAAAAAAAAAAAAAGTAATTAGTTACTAGTTACTTTTCACAAATAATAATGAATTAACTGAGTTACATGATTAGAAAAGTAACTAATAACCAGGGAGAGTAACCATTGCATTACTTTTACTATTGTCAAAAAGTTTATGAAGTGTATGTTGAAAAAATGTGCACTAAACTAAATAAATAATTATTATAAAACAATATTTTCTATTCTATAATGCCATTTCTATGACAATGTGAGAGACACCTACCAAATGTAATATTTTATTGTAAATATTATCATTTTTATAGTGGAACAATAAAACATAATAGATGGTTTAGAATGTTTAATGTTTACCACAACTGGCCAGATAACATGTCTAACAACTTTGCGGTTGAAATACAAAAGTTGGCTATTAAATAAGATATTACAGCCTGTTTCTTTTAGCAAAATGTTCATTCAGGTTTTAATCAAGGTAAAACTATAGTAAATTGCTTTAGCATGTACCATTATCACTGCATAGTCCACACTCTTTCACACTGACACTGTATGTTCAGATCCTGCCTTCATTCACGGCAAGCTGAGGATATAGAAATGTGATTGTAAAGTACTTCATCAAAATATACTTACATGAGTGACTACTGTTGATCATTTCTGTGTGTCAGAACAATACTGAACTAGCTTTAGTTGCTTTAATGCATTGGCTTCATCTACCGCTTTGAAAGCACCACCTGTGTTTTTAGCCAATCATCAGTTATGTGGTTGTCCCACCCCTACACACCTGGCAATATTCATCAGTTATATGCTCCATTCACAGACACCAGAGCAGACAGAATCAGATGAAAACCGTGTCAGGGAGCTCAGTTGCAATCTATATCAATTATAAAGTGCCACATTTATTGTCAGTTATGATAATAGCATTGTAATGAGGAAGCAGTCATTTATTTGAATACTACTTACTGAAAAAAGTCAGTTAGTAATGATGTTTATTTATAACACCCTTATGCCCATCACTGGTTTCTAGTCATACAAGTGTACAAAAAAATGGAATATCATTGGGAATAAACTTCAAAAATGTTTTATTAATGTAAATTCATAGGGCTGCCAATAATTATGCACACATTTAAATATATATTTACATAACTAGAGCACAGATTTTTGTTTTGTTAATATTTTAAGCAAACCGTTTAAATGGTTAAACAAAAAATAAAGAAACCCTTTTTTCCAGAGCCTTGTAAGGTTTCACATTGGCCATAATTGTTCTCATTTAGCTCTTTAGCTGACGTTAGTCTTGTAATTGAGGTTGCGTTTGTAGGCTGTTTCGCAGTAAGATGGATGGTGTCGTGCAGGGAGTCATTGTTTCTTTGTTATCTGAAGCGTACCTGGTATACAGATGTTATTCCTGTGAGACCAAGCCACCCACGCCTCAGCGAGCAGACAGAGAGAGAATAAAGCCTTATTTCTCCAAGAAAAACTGTCGAGCTTTCATGTGTGTCCTCCTGAATGTGATTTTAGTTAAATTATAGCCTACAGCCATTTTGTACAACTTAAAGTTTATTTATAAGAGCTCTTTTTACTTTCCAGGGATTGTCCCTGAAATAGTTTTTACCACTTTTTTTATTTTGACTTGGCTTGTTTATGCAAAAGATTTTATTTTATTTTTTGCAATTGTGTATTAACTTCTTGAGATTTTGAATATTCATAACCTCAATACTGAAAAAGTTTCTCGCAATTCTAAGGGGGGAAATGTCAGAATTGCACTATATATAATACCTAAAATACTGTAGTTTTTTTTTTCTCTGTTCATTTGATCCTATTCCACTTTGATCTTATTATGAATTTTATATTCTCAATCTCAAAATTGTGAGAAAAAAGTTGAATATAATCTTGAAATTGTAAGAAAAAGGTTTCATTTAGCTTTTTCAATCTGTGGCTTTGGACACTGGTTTTCTTGGTCTTTAACAAATGTCTGTTGAATCATCATTTTTATTAACCCTATGAAAAATGGCAAACATTAACTGTCAAAATTTAAAATATGACATCCACAATTTTGAAACATCTTAAAATGGTTTCTTATCATTAAAACCTTTAGCATTCTGTCACTCAATTTTGTATTCATACTGTTTCTGTTTTTATATATTTTCAGTTAAAATAGCAATTAATAATAGTAATATTTATATGCATGTTTTGTGTTTTTAAATTAATAGTATTTAATAGGATTCTGCTTCCTGTCATTAGTTATTTTATTTTATTATTATTTTATTTTACTTTATTTTTTCTCAGATCCTAAATTTTCAAAGTTGACCTGTTCCCTAGACGTTTTCAGGTATGGATTCAGTCCAGAAATACTGCATCACTGCCTAACCCCAACAATCTGTTTTCCAGTCAAACGCTGCCAAGGCATCTGCGTAATATAATTTAGTACGTGTCTGATCAGACATCTTCAGAACATGTACTATCCAGAGGCCATAAGGATGATCTTGTATTTCCTTCTATTGTTCTCTGGTGCACAACCACTGCACTGGAGAAACGAGAATTCTTCTTCCTCTTTTCCATTTAGCATGGCTAAGGCCACTGTCATTTACCAAAGGGAGAAAGATACTGTAATTATTTGCTTTGTTACAAGTTTTGCAGATTTGCTTCATGAAATTGTGACAGAACATAATACTTAATATTTTAACATAAAAAACATTAAAATAATTGCTTCTGGATTGTGCATTTTTTTTCTATCATCAACCAATTTTAATCACAGCAAAATAGACTAAAACTCTAAAGAGATGATTCAGCTGCACTTTCAGTAGCATTTCCATTTCAGTCACAACACATTAGACTGAAATTAATAGTGAAAAAAGTTGTTTCAGCTTGCATTTTCTTACAAGATTAATGCAATTTTCTTTTTAACACCCTAATAAGGGTAAATTAATTGGAAAAATACTTGCAAAACTGCACTTGCAAAAATACTTGCTGAACTGCACTTTAAGGCACTTTATTTTTTTTTTCATCATCAACCAATTTTAATCACAGTAAAATGGACTCAAACTTTTAAAAGTTGATCCAGCTGCACTTTCATAACTTTACATTTCAGTCACAACAAAATAGACTGAAAATAATGATGAAAAAGTTGTTTTAACTTGCATTTCTTTTATGTTTTACGTTTTTAACACCCAATTAATTGGAAAATTAATTGGGTGTTAAATTAATTAATTGAAAATTAATTGTGACAATTAATTGGAAAAACACTTTAGGAACTGCACTTTAAACCACTTTATTGGAGAAAAAAAAGAAGTTTGCGCAACCGTTTCGCCAAATAGCAACAAGCTGTTTCTTCCACTTCAGTCTTGACCGATGCCTCTAGCAAAGTAACTGCAGAGGTTTCAGATCCCAGTCGGTCTCTCTTTCCGCAACCTTACAGGAGTAAGCATTTAATTTGTCACGGAAACATGCCTATCGGAGAAATCTCAATTGGACAAATGGTCTGTCAGATGGTTCGCGCAGCGTACAGCACCCTTGCTGTCTCGTGTTTCACAGAATCATGAAGAGGGCAGACCAAACTATCCGTCCTACAGCCAAGGGAAATATTTCACATTTGTCTTACCGAGGGAGTAAAAGCAAATATAAAATGAATATTCCCCCCTTTTGCCTCCCTAGGTCAGTTTTTGCTGGAGGAATCGCGGCTTTTGGAGGCCGCTGAAATGGCAGAGAAAGCCGCGCAGCTGGACACTGAAGAATTTGATGTGGTTTTCAGTGCAGCTCACATGCTCAGGTGAGGAGGACATGCAAGAATGTGTTTTTTTTTTTTTTTTTTTACTATAAATAAATAGCCATATTTCTATATGAGGCATAAATGTTTCATGTAGCAAACAGCAACCATATTGGTTCTTAATAGGTAGTTTGCAACACAAAAATGTGACTATTGACCTTATTCTTCAATGCGAAAGTGTGATTGTTTTAGAACTTACGATTGAGGTACCTATGGTAAAAATGACTACGAATAATTAACGGCCAAAAAATATGTCAATCTGCTTGCTCTACAAACAAGTGTGTTCATGACAATACAGACAAAACAGATTAATATAATAAAAAATATCAGTTTGCAAAATCAAGCAGCATAACAAGTTTTTAACTTCTAAAAATTAATAGAAGTGAATGAGACCGGAAGTTTCGAACCAAAAAGATTCAAATGGCTGTGCCCGCTCATATACAAAGAATAAGGTTAATAGAGAAGAGGATTACTTTTTCAGCATATTAAAATGTATTTATTTATTTTGTTGCTTTAATTAAGTAGCCAAATTTCTAGATGAAGCATGCAGTTTGCAACCCAAAAATGTGACTATAGAGAGCAGCAGATAACTTTTTTAAGCAGATTAAAATGTATTTATTTATTTTGTTGCTCTAAATAAGTAGCCAAATTTCTAAATGAAGCATACATGTTTCCAGTAGCAAACTGAAGCCATATTGGTTCTCAACTGGTAGTGTGCAACCCAAAAAAGTGTGACTATAGAGAGCAGCAGATAACTTTTTAGAAGATTATTTTGTTTATTTCTTTATTTTTACCTATAATTAGGTAGCCATATTCCTAGATGAATCATAAATGTTTCCTGTAGCAAGCATAAGCTATATTGGTTTTCAACTGATAGCGAGCAACCCAAAAATTTGACTATAGAGAAGCAGACAACGTTTTTAGAGAACATTAAATATATTTAAAGACCAAAATTGATATATATATATATATATATATACTTGCCTTGACTTCGCAGGAAATGGACCCATGATTCATTTGAAAACAGACAAAATAAGTGCATTTGGCAGATAATCCCACTCCAAAACCTTCAAACAAGTCTCTCTCAGGCCTTCACAAAGTTTATACACTGTAAAAATAAATTATTGTTGCCTATTTTATTTGTTTATTTTTTTGTTTTGTTTTATCAAATGAACTTTTCTAGCCATCTCAACTTACAGCAATCAAACTGGCTACACTTTTAAGTTAAACTGTGTATAACAAAAAAAAATTAGTTAAAACCTGATTAACTTATTAAAATTGCTGTGTACTTATTGCTGAAAATGACAGTCCATGTCAAATCAACCAAAACTTTCTTTTCTAAAATATTAAGTTTTGTTCAATTATTTTTTTTTCTAAAGACAAGCATAAACAAAAATGACCATTATTTGTGTTATAGACCATTTCAATGTGTTGATGTCATTGGTCCATGAACTTTTCCTGCTTGTTGTGAAGCTAATTACTAACTGTAACAAGAGGCAATTCAATCATAACTTGACGTTAAAACAGGTTTGATAACATTATCAATATGTGGAGATTTTTGGATTCTCGGAAGCTGTGGAAATTAAAAATGTAAAACAGGAAATATGTTAGGACCATACAGTACGTGTCTTGTTTACATCCCTCAAAATGGTCTGAGTACCAGCAGTCTATAAACCAAGATCTAAAAAAGATATCTTTGATACATATTTGAGTTAAATTGAGAGCAAAATCCAAATTGCAAATCCACTTTCTTTTTAATATTGTAACAAAAATAAAACAGAGAACTAATTTCAGTTAAAAACTAAACTGTGAACAATTCTGGAACGGTGTTGGTTTGCCAATGTTTGATGTCCAGTATAAAGTCTGTATGATGAAGCTGAACCAATTGAGAACCGCTGCACTTGAGGATGTTTTTCTATCTCTTTCACCCTTTCTCTTTCTCTCACTCTTTCCTCCTGCCCTTTTGTATGGATGCTTTCTTTCCATTGCCATTCACCGCAGGACATGTAATGGAAATCCTGCATTAATTCCTTTGCCTCAAGCTTTCTATTGAATACACTTCTTTATAATTACTACATGGAGTTCACATGGTATACAGTTACACGTTTCCTAAAAAAAAAGTATTCCAACCCTACAGCAGATTTTTGCACGGCGCTTTATTCTACAAGAACACTGTGTTGTTAATTGCAGTCTCAGGCCGCGTCCTCTGCTTTCGTGCTGGGCTTGCGGTCCTCATTTGAAGATCGGGTTCCTGCTGTGTTTGTCTTGGATGGACTTGCAGAATGGTCTCAGATGGGGGCTGAATTCAAGTGGGGAGGCTTCAGATGTGTGGCGTTTTTCTTACAGCTCTCAAGGGCCCATCTGCTCCAACAACTTTGCTTCCTCCGTATCAGTTTTGCTGCACTCTTCAAACAACCACTGGGTTATTTGAAACGTCGACCAAACTGTGTCGCCATGGCACACTGAGGAAGAAACTGCAGTTGGAGTCAGAATTATTAGCCTTTTAAATTATTAGTATAATATTTTTATAATATGTATATTTTTTCTCTCGATTCCTGTGTAACAAAATGAATATTATAGACACATTTCAAAATATAATAGTTATAATAAATAATAACTGATTTATTTTATCTTTGACATGATGACTGTACATAATGGTTTACTAGATATTTTTCAAGACACTAGTATTAAATTTGAAAGTCATTGTATCTTACGGGAATGTAAAAATAAACAGCTCTTAGAGATAATTTGGGGCTAGATTATGAAGGGAGTTACAGTTAGGTCTATAAATATTTGGACACTGACACAATTCTAACATTTTTGGCTCTATACACCAACACAATGGATTTGAAATTAAACAAACAAGATGTGCTTTAACTGCAGACTGTCCGCTTTAATTTGAGGGTATTTACATTCAACTCAGGCGAACTGTGTAGGAATTACAACAGTTTGCAAATGTGCCTCCCACTTGTTAAGGGACCAAAAGTAGTCAGACGGTTAGCTTCTAAGCTGTTCCATGGTGTGTGTTATTCCCTCAATATCCCAATTACAACTAGCAGATAAAAGGTCCAGAGTTCATTTCAAGTGTGCTATTTGCATTTGGAATCTGTTTCTGTCAACTCTAAAGATGGAATCCAAAGAGCTGTCACTATCAGTCAAGCAAGCCATCATTTGGCTGAAAAAAACAAAACAAACCCATCAGTGAGATAGCAAATATACTAGGCACGGCCAAAAAACTATTGGGAACATTCTTAAAAAGAAAGGATGCTCCAGTGAGCTCAGCAACACCAAAAGAGCTGGAAGACCACGGAAACAAATGTGGTGAATGACCAAAGAATTCTTTCACTGGTGAAGCAAACACCCTTCACAACAATTGGACCGATCAAAAACACTATCTAGGAGGTAGGTGTATGTGTGTCACAATCAACAATGCAGAGAGGACTACACCAGAGTGAATACAGAGTGTTAACCACAAGATGTAAACCATTGGTGAGCCTCTAAAACATGAAGGCCGGATTAGAGTTCTAAAAAAGCCTTCGCAGTGCTGGAACAAAATCCTATGGACAGATGAAATCAAGATCACTTTGTACCAGAGGGATGGAAAGAGAAGAGTATGGAGAAGGAAAGGAACTGCTCATGATGCTAAGCAGTGAAGCATGGTGGTGGTAGCGTTATGGCATGGGCATGTATGGCTGTCAATGGAACTGGCTCTCTTGTATTTATTGATGATGTGACTGCTAAGAAAAGCAGCAGGATTAATTCTGAAAAATTCTGGTATTATTATCAGCTCTTATTAAGCCAAATGCTTCAGAACTTTAGGCAGTGCTTTACAGTGTAGATGGAGAATGACCCAAAGCATACTGTCAAAGCAACCAAAGAGTTTTTGAAGGGAAAGAAGTGGAATGTTATTCAATAGCCAAGTCCATCCCCTAACCTGAATCTGATTGAGCACGCATTTCACTTGCTGAAGACAAAACAGAAGGAAAAATGCCCCAAGAACAAGCAGGAACTGAAGACAGTTGCTGATGACTCCTGGCAGAGCACCACTAGGTATGAAACCCAGCATCTGGTGCCGTCTATGTGTTCTAGACTACCTAAACTAAGTATTAAAAAGTGAAAGTTTGATTTATGATTATTGTTCTTTTCAATTACTTTTGGTCCATTAACAAGTGGGAGGCACATATGCAAACTGTTGTAATTCCCACATCTAAATACCCTCAAATTAAAGCTGATAGTCTTCAGTTAAAGCACACATTGTTTGTTTAATTTCAAATTCATCGGGTTGGTGTATAGAGTCCAAAATGTTAGAATTGTGCTGATGTCCAAATGTTTATGGACTTTACTGTGTGTATACCAGTAAAAGCACTTTAAAATTAATTCTGAAAAAATGTACACTGGATTAATTGTTCACCTTGGTAAAATTATGATTACCTATTCTGTTTACCTGAAGTTTAGAAAGACCCTATTAAAGTTCTTATATAATATTATAGTGAAGAGCTCTGCATTCCTTTATGGGTATCCCCTGAAGACTGGTGACCCCTTCAGAGTGACATAACAAATAGACTTGCGGTTGGGATCGGAGGAAAAGTTTTTGTTGCAAGAATTTAAACATTACTTTTATTGTATTTGGGAGGTTTCGCTCTGACCTATAGGGAGGTTGAGTTGTTGCTGTGTTTTAGATTTACACCATATATTGAATTTGTGGTCATGGAGCCAAAGCCAGGCTCAACACCGCTGTGTTTTGGACTCTGTGTTAAGGGTGGTCACTTTCCCACTGCGGATTACAAGGAAAGCCATTGTCCCTCCAGACAGTTGTGGTCATTATCATAAGCCATGTTTTTATTGTGTGTATGTGAATGAGAAACTACACAGGCTCGTCGTTTGGGTGGAAAGGATTGCAAAACAGAATTGTGGAAGGTGGACATTAACACATGGTTCTGGTTGAATGCTCAAATCCACTGTTGGGAATTGGACATCCCATAGAATTGAATGTAACTTTTTAAATATTATTTTTAAGTGCTAAACCTCTGCGATCAGTTTTGGTGGTTTCCTCACATATCAAAAATGGTATTAAATATCAATATGTTTCTTGGTATTATATCAAAGTTACAAAATCCAGTATCATAACAACACTAATCGAAATATACATATTTTCCAAAGCAGCTTTGCAAGTTAGTTAACTTTTCTCCTATTAAAATCTTCTGCTATCCTTCTAGAAGCTGACTGAGAATCACTGGACACTAGACTTATAAATGAAAAATTACATTTTAATTACAGAACCTCAGTTTATTTTTTGTTTTGTTTTTATAGTATAGATATTCTAGTCGAACATTGTTACCTACTTTCATAAAAGCTGATATTTCTCTAAACAAGTTGACCTAAATGTGCCATTTTCCATTGTACTGAGGGAAGGACAACACTATATTTACCTGTTCAGAGTTCACAATGACCAAATACATTTCCCACTCAGCACTTTATTTTTAATATTGCCTTTTTTTGTTGTAACTATAATAGAATTGGGAAACAAAATTATAAAAATAGGAGTTGAGAATGAGATTAAAAAGTGATGTGAGCTGGATTAATTTTTACAAGAATTTCACTTAATTCTTTTTCTTTTTAACTCATAACATCTTGTACAATTTTCCTCCAGAAATATACATCAACGTTATGTCTTCATTTAATATCTCCCTCATTCATCTTTCTCGCTCATTTCAAGATTAAGATATTGAAAAGTTTTCCACACCTACTATTCATCCCTCATCTCTTTGCTCGAGTACATAATATTTTCCTTTATGAAAGGCAATTTCTTGAAGCGTTTAACCTTAGCTCTTTTTACCAAAGAGTTTTCTTGAACATGAAGTAGGATTTATAAAACTAGCCAGTATAAAAAAGCAGTCATCTATCATAAACAGAGGGACTCTGCGGCTCTCTTTCATCATAACTTGGTTTGTCTTGGCTGACAGTCATTGGCTCCATATTGAATTCTCTTCAAAAAGAAGATGCTTGTACTAGCAGGAGCAGACAAACATGGGTGTTTCTACATGGATTTTCTTTTCTTTTAAATTATTTTGTTATTTTTATTAATGTATTGTTTTATGTTATGTTGTTTTCTTTTTTTTCTTTTAAAATGTTATTTTATTTTATTATTTTGTATTTAATTTTTAAATGTGATTATTTTTGTCATTTTATTATTTTATTTTATTAGTTTATTAATTTTATTTTTTATATCTTATTTAAATATTATTTTTGATTATTTTATATTTAATTTAAATTGTATTATTTTTGTTATTTTATTTTGTTGTATTTTTTTATGTTATTTTATTTCATAATTTTAATTTAAATTGTATTATTTTTGTTATTTTATTTAATTATATTTTCTAAATTTAAATGTTATTTCATTTCTTATTTTTTTATTTAGATTTTATTGTCTTTATTTTTATTTTATTTATTTATTTTATTTATTTTTCATATTTAATTTAAATATTAGTTTTTTTCATTATTTTAATTTTAATTAATTATTAGTTTTGTTATTTTATTTTGTTGTGTTTCATTTTTAGTTTATTTAATATTTGTATTCAAATGTTTTTTATTTATTATTTCATTTAAGTTTTTAAAAATGTATTTAAATGTTTATTTTATTATTTTACAATTTAGCATTGTTGTTTTTTTATTTTGTTGTGTTTTATTTTTCTTTTATTTTTAATTGTTATATTTTGTTTTATTATGTATTTAATAGAAATGTAATTATTTTATGATTTTTATGTATATAATAATAATTATTATTATTATTTATTTATTTATTTATTTATTTTATTTTTGTGAGGATGTTAAAGAACATCAAAGAGCATCCAGTAGGTTGTAGGTCACAACCTTAAAAATGAAGAAACTTTTTTTCTTCTGCTGAAAGTAGTAAAGTCAGGCAGTTTTATAACCCTGTTTGGCATCTGCAGGGCTTTTCATGTTGGTCAAATGGTCCCCGGTTTAATGGCCAGCGATAAACTTGTGCGACAGGATGAAGTAACACATGATGTTTTATTTGTTTTTTCAGGCAAGCCAGTCTCAATGATGCAGCTGAGAAATACTACAGACAAGCTGCCAGCCTGAGACCCAATGTAAGTACCCACAACACACAGGATATTTGCCATTCCCTCAAAGCTTTAATGAAGTGAATACAGTTTAACCAACAATATATGTTTTTTTTTGTAATGTTGCTGTTCAAAATGCAATTGAAGCATTATTTTGTTAAATATGTGTCATTTCTCATACATTTCTAGCACAAAAGTCTAAATATTGGAGTCAGTTTTTGGACAAAATACAGTCAAATGTTTTTACAGAGAGGATTTCAGGGTTTCCTTGGGCCATGCAATTTCTGGATTATCATGCAATTTCAAAAGGTCTATTCCAGATTTTGGAAGTCAGCTTATTTTATTTTATTTTATTTTATTTATTTATTTTTATTTTTTTTTTTATTGTCTTATTTTAATTTTTTATTTAATTTAATTACATTTTCAATTGTTTTATTTAATTAAATTGTATTATTATTATTTATATTTTATTGTTTTATTTTTTTCATATTTTTATTAAATTTGATTTAATTTTATATTTTTATCATTTTTAATTTAATTTTAGTATTTAATTTTGTTTTATGTTATTTTTTAATTTTATTTTATGTTATTATATTTATTTATTTTTAATTTAATCTTAGTATTTTATTCTATTTTCATTAAGTCATGGAATATAAGGTATGTTTGTTTGTCGTTTAAAATGTTACTTCTAATTGATCAAATGTTTTATTTTTCCTATACCATTTATTTCATGTGTTACATGTTTTGCCAATTTGTATAATTATTACTTTTTTTACAGACTCTTAAGTCCACATTCAAAAACATAAATCAAAAATATAAAAGGAACATACAATACAAGCATATTGTTAACAATACATATTGTTATGTGATTAGGTTATCTCTTTACTCCTGTTTTATTTCTTTTTCTATTGTATCAAGCAATCAAATAACCAGGCAATACCTGTTAAAATACTGTCTGTGGCTGTTTTTTGTCTGCTCTGTGCTCAACCAGTCCCTTCTGAAGGGGAAAGGTTTCTTTATAGCACGTTCTATACCCGAACACAATGTTTTTATAGACAGTATATATACTGTATAATACATTGCAGATGGTACAGAAAGAATTTGAACAGTGTCCTGGCCAAAATCTGCAGGAAATCTGTGGCAATTTAAAAAATTGTTGAGCTCCTTTGAATTTTCATTCATTCATTCATCCGTTCAATTTCTTGTCGGCTTAGTCGCTTTATTAATCCGGGGTCGCCACAGCGGAATGAACCGCCAACTTATCCAGCAAGTTTTTACGCAGCAGATGCCCTTCCAGCCGCAACCCATCTCTGGGAAACATCTACACATACACTCATGCACTACGGATAATTTAGCTTACCCAATTCACCTGTACCGCATGTCTTTGCACTGTGGGGGAAACCAGTGCACCCGGAGGAAACCCACGCGAACGCAGGGAGAACATGCAAACTCCACACAGAAACGTCAACTGAGCCGAGGCTCAAACAATGATCACAGAATTGCTAAATTCTGGAGGGACTGCTCAACACAACAGCTGCTTGTTTTTATATTTATTATAAGAGGTTCTGTGGTTCGAAGAGGTTCGAATTCGAATTTTGACATTCGGGGTCATACTTTGTTTAGTGGTCTTATTACTTGCATGTAAATAGGCCTAATCAATGTACTAATTTATGTTTTTACACTGTACTTATATTTAAAAATGATCAGCAAATAAATGTTAACTCAACTCAATATTAAACTCAATATTAATTGGGAGCACATTTGGGTTAGAGTAGAAATTGTGGGATATGTTTTATCACTTTTTAACTTGTAGAACAGTCTGAAAAGTGAAATAAGCTTCATATAATATGCTATATAAGCAACCAAATTATGTATAAGCGTATTCCTCTGTAAAAAAAAAAATTTAAATTGACAATATAGAGACACGTATACAGTTGAAGTCAGAATTATTGGCCCTCCCTGTGAATCATTTTTCTTTTTCAAATATTTCCCAACTGATGAAAAACAGAGCAAGGTATTTTTTCCTATATTTTTTTTCTTTTGGAGAAAGTCTTTTTTGTTTTATTTAAGCTAGAACAAAAGCAGTTTTTAATTGTTTTAAAATAATTTAAGGTCAATATTATTAGCCCCCTTTTTCAATAGAACAAACTACTGTTATACAATTATTTTTATTACCTAATTAACCTAGTTAAGCTTTTAAATTGCACTTTAAGCTGAATTTTAATATCTTGAGGAAAATCTAGTAAAATTGTGTACAGTCATCATGGCAAAGATAAAAGAAATCAGTTATTAAAGCATTTATGTTTATACATCTATTTTACAAGTTCTGTGTATGTTGTTGCTGCTGAAATGTAAAATTATGGCTTTATGCAGGAGGAAGACACTCATTTTGAGAAAACTGATTTACAAATAGCATGTATTGCAATAGAAGTCTACAAATGCAAACACTTAAAAGTGAATTTTGCATGTTCTTCTATAACACAAGACTGAAAAAGCTTATTATGCAAAGCCCAAAAGGACAAAATGTCAAAATTAACTGGTGGATGTGCAAAGCGTGATTTTTGCCTGTAGTGTTTCATCGTCATTGGCGTGCCTCAGTTGCTTCACACGTTTATTTGGTGACCAACTGTAGAAGTCTTCTGGAGGGACTTTAAAGGGATGTGTGTCAGGAAAGTGTACCGTGAGGCTCACAGAACACACAGTTGTTTGATTTCTTTGGAAAATGTGAAGCGTTTGATGTTGGATGAGCAGCTGCCTGAGAGGAAGTTGCCCTGTTTGCCAAACAGAAGCGCAAGCTGGAAATGTAAAAAACGAAAAAGAAAAAAATGAATGATTAAGCTTAATATGAGGATAGATGGTGTCGGCTGATTAAGCAATGTTTTATTATTATATTATTACTTATGTATGGTTTTGTTCTTTCATTTTAAAATATTTTTTTATTTATTTACGCTTTTTCTGTAAGCTTAATTAAAAAAAATTTAATCTATATCTATAGATATATCTATCTATAATATTTAATAATCTTATGTAATAATAGTTATATTTAATAATAACAATAATAATAATAATAAAATAATAATAACAAAAAATATAAATAATATAAATATTATTTTTATTGTATATATATATTTTTATTATTAATATTATTATTTTGTTATAACAAATGTCATTTTATCTTTAATAATTACATCTAATAATAGTCATATCTAATAATAATAATAATAATAACAGTAATATATATATATATAATTATTATTATTATTATTATTATTATTATTATTGCAAATATCATTTTATCTTCAATTTCATCTAATAACAGTTATATATAACAATAATAATAATTATTATTATTATTATTATAAATATATTTATTATTATTATTATTATTATTATTATTATTATTGATCTTTATTAAAAAGCATGATTAAAGATCAAATAAAATTTGTAAATATTATTTTTTTATTATTATCATCATTATAATCATTATTATTACCCTACATTAAAACCTTGATAAAAATACAAAACGACATTACCTGTTAAATTCTCTGCTACCAGCTGGAAAGCCCTCCTTTTATTTACTTTATTTTTAGAAAATGTCGCCTTTATTCCAGTGCTGTGCAGTGTCTGGATTTTGTTGAACAGTCTGCAGGGATGTTTGTCTCCTTAGCAGCTGTTGAAACAAAGGTCCCAAGATCCTTTCCACATCTGGTCTGACTGATGCTGTGACTGCATGCCAGTCTGCTGTTGTGTGGGATTCAGTGAGGTTAAAGTGTGGAGGCAGAAGAGGAAGGAAGAGGTCAGGAAATTTCTGGAGACCTCAGCAGGACAGATTCCTCTCCACTTCCTCTCACCTGACTCTATATAGAAACACTTTCTTTAAGTAGTTGTTTTTTCTACTCTGCAGAAGGTCTCTACAAATATCTGGGGAGCCTTCAAACATTGAAATGTGCACAAAAATAAATATGCACATACAAATATTATTATTATTTTTTTTTTAGATGTGACACTGCACTGTGAAATTCAATAAGTTAAGGCAACTGAAACCATTTGAGGAGACCGATTGCTTTAAACCATTTGAGTAAAAAAATGAATCTATATGAGTGCTGTGAACTTACTCCATTTGAGTTTAAGTAATTTTGTATTTAATTAACTAATTACCTTCAATCACTGAGTTTAAAACTCTTTTCAAATCGTAGAATTTACGTTTAGCAAATTTTGATTAAACTATGCTCATTTCATTTGATAAAGTTGGGTTTTGCAGTGTGCAAGCAAAAACACTCCTTCATGTGCTGTTTTGAGATTTTGCACTTCTTGTAAGTGTTTTTTTTAGTCTAATGCAAAGAGAGCATGAATAATGCATGTGCTGTAAGTGTTTCTTTTGCCACCCTTTATCTATTTGTGTCTGATTTCTTTCACACAACATATTTTAAAGCCATTTTCTCAAAATAAGTGTTTCCTCCTTTACCGAGCCACAAATCTCCACTTCAGCAGCACTTTCGCACATCAAACCTTATATTTTTATTCATATCTGTATTTTGAAGGTTTTTACTGTGGAATATGTTCATATGTATTTTTTGCTACATTATTTTTTTGGCTGTATTTTCTATGTTGTGGAGAAAAAGTAAATCTGTAGATTTGTCAGTAAAATTAAACGAGAAAGTTGAACATGATGTCATCCAGAGATCAGATTTTTGTGCTAGAAGTGTATGCAATTGACTGCATACTAATGAAATAATGCATTATTTGCATATTTAAACATAACAAAAAGCAATCCAAAACCTTAGCTGGGCAAGTATGGTGATCAGGGTGTCTTAAAAGGGACTTAAAAGTTTTACAATGTCTTAAATTTCACAAGCTTTAATTTTAGGTCTTAAAGAGAATTGAATTCATTGTGTCTTGAATCATTTTAAACAGGTCTTGATTTTCCTCTGTCCAAGTAAAGCTACCCAATATCACTGACATTTGCCCAATCACCAACAACCCATCTTAATAAAATCAGGAAAGAAAACTAAAAGCAATTACACAGTTCCTCGGGATAATAACAAAGCACTATGTCTCTTTACATAATCCATCATTCATACAAAAACTATTTATGGAAGTAAGGGGGAGTAAACATAATATCTACAAATATGGCATGAAAGTTTTATAACAGAAATGCATTAGGCTGAAAATAGGTTATACTCAATTAATTTGGACAAAAAGCCAACAAATAAAACTTTGTCATTATTTGTGTAAATGTCTCCACAATAAATATATGTCTAAAATTTCATTCATAATAGTCTTAAAAGGTTCCTAAAATGTCTTAAATTTTAGATGATGTACTGTAGGGGTGTCTTTTTTTTAACCTTATTCACCTTCCAGTATTACTTTTTTTATTTTATTATTTTTTTTAACTCAATTGGTGATGTAAACTTTGCAGGTCAGGTGGCACGATGGCTCAGAGGTTAGCACTATCTCTTTACAGCAAGAAGGTCACTGGTTGGGCAGGTGGCATTTCTGTGTGGAGTTTGCATGTTCTCCCCGTGTTTCCCTGACAGTCCAAACACATGCAGTATAGGTGAATTGGATTAATTAAATTGGCCGTTGAGTGGCTGGAAAGGCATCTGCTGCGTAAAACATACAGTATGCTGGAATAGTTGGGGGTTCATTCTGCTGTGGTAACCCCTGATAAATAATGGACTAAGCTGAAGTAAAATGAATGAACTTTGCAGGTCTTTAAAAATGGTTTTAGAAAACATAGCAAAACTTATCAGAAACCATAAATTGAACTTGAAATAATTAAGTAAAACATAATTTGCATATAAAAAATAAATAAATAAAAAGCAATCCAAAATTTTATCTGGTCAAGTATGGTAACTTTTGGGGTTTCTTTCCTCTTTTACCCTATTCACCTTCCTGTCTTACTTTAAAGATAATAAGAAAAAAAAAACTTAATTTGTGATGTCAACTTTTCAGGTCTTTAATTGTTTATGTATTTATTGCTGGTAAAAAATAGCTTTAGAAAATGTCTGTAAACTTAGCGAAACTTGACCTGACAGAAGCTGTACTTTTCCATTTTCCTATATTATTTTTCCCACTACAGTTACTTGGATATTAGTAGCAAGCGTAAAAGCTGCTGAATTTGCCCGTGAATATATTTGAGAGGAAGGTATATGTGTCACCTGAGTGCAGTTAATGCCACAGTTTGCAGTTCATTTGTCCCTCAGTCTCATTTTGAGGTTTGACTTCTACACGTCGGGTCAAACAGCGCTAATATATTACTTATGTGTTGTATAATTCCACAACGATCGTCTCTTTCTACATTTCCATGTGGGAAACCGGTGGCAGTCGGCCTTAAATGTCAGTTAGTGTAAGTTTTTACTTTCATGAATGTTAGATTGTATATGTCTCTCTGCTTCAGAAGTGGCGTGCTAAACGCGAAGCATATTCACAAATGATTTTTGGATTAAATCACATCACCTTCTTGCATTTAAAACAAAAAATTGAACTGCTTGTGTGATTGCAAGCCTGTATTTTATACAGCAGATGTGTTTTTTGTATTTCTGTGTAAGGATTCTTGGGTTTTGTTTATAGGTTCAGTTTGATTTAAGTGTCTATTGAAATCGCTTTATGTGAGAAGAATCAGTGCAGTCAACATATTGTTTCCATTGAACGCTGATGCATTCAGCATTACTCATGAAACCTTGACATAAGTAAAACAGATGATGCACGTCCTGAAGAGTTATAGTCTGTTGAATAACAGACACTTTCTGAGGAGATTTATGCACCTGCGGACCTAAAAACCATTTCAAAAATGCAAACGAATTGCTACAACCTTGAGGATACACATGCAAACAGTATTATTGCTTCCTTGAGATGCAATCATGCAAACAAGGTCCATTTTTAGTTGTTAAATATGTTGTATTTAGTCATCTTAAACATAAATAATTTTCAAACCAAGCAGCTTTTTGTTGGTCTCTGTGCTGAGTTTGAATGGCAAATTAGAAGATGAGCACTATGAGCCAATTTGAAGATGAAATTTTGGTTCAAGTTTATTTATTTATAGAGCACATTTAAAAACTGTCACAAGACTGACCAAAGTGCTGTACATAAAACAAAATATTACAATATTTAAGTTAAAAACCAAGAGAAATAACAGATAGATATTTAAACTGAACAAGACCAGTATTGGGTGTTTTTTTTTTTTTTTTTGCAATGTAATTAGTTACTGTGTTTTAAATTACTTTTAAATACTTAAATAACTTAAATAAAGGAATTACTTTTCATTTTTTGGTAATTTAATTACAGTTACTTATAATGTACTTGTTTAATGTACATAAATTGGACAGTTTTGTATAAATCATTTCGGAGAAGCAGAGTATCTGTATTTTTGTTGTTGTACAAATATATTTTGCTGATTAATTCTGTTTTTCAAATTAGAACAAGTACATTAATCAAGACAGTTGCATATGCTTAAGAAACAAAATATTGAGAAATTAGTTAATGACAATATGTGGTATAAATTCAGAGATTCACATGAATTGTATGTTTTTTAATAATCATTCTATTTTTATCTAAAGAAGGATAGTTTTTTTCTGACAATATTACTTGTTTAAAAAACAATGAAACATTTTAGAAAATGTATACTGCAAACTTGTATTGTATTCAACATGGTGTCATTACTAGGGCCAGGCAGAATCTGCAGACATTTTTTTGCTATTTCTGCTGAGAATTTAGTAAAAAACCTGCAGATTTATGTGGAATGATTTTAGGAGTACATGACTTATGATTTAATCATGTATGATTTAATGATTACAATGCACATCCAAATAAATCCACTTATTTAGTAAACAAAGCAAGTCTCTCATATAATATCTCTGCTAAAAGAGAGAACATATTACTTTACAAACTGTATTGTACATAAATCATATGAAAGTTTTTATATTACTATTATTATATCACAATAATATTTGTGAAATTAGCTTAAAAAATGAATAAATATAAACATTTACATATACATTTAAACAAGTAAATACATAGACTCAATTATGGCCTAAAAATATGCGTACGTCTGTGGATTTCTGCACATGCAGATTCTGTGTGGGCCTAGTCATTACTTCGAAGCATTTTGAGTTTTGACACACATTTTGTTTTAAATTTAATTAAATATATATATTTTTTACATTTAACAAAATAAAACGTCCTGTCTGACTCAAAAATAACAATAATTAGGAGTAATTTCCACTGCTCATGCATTGAGGTCTACGCAGGAATACAAGGTTTTATTCCACGCCTGACCGCTCCCGCCCTATATTCAGCCTTTGTTTAGCCACTGCCCAACCCGTCCTATTTTCTACCTGACCCGACGTTCCCTGGTTCTGGTTTCCAAAATCTCACGTTTATATGGGCACAACCAAAAGAGAGAGATAACAGAAATAACTGTAGGTTGTGCAAGGATCGTAGGCTAAATGCCAGTTTCCTTTGCTCCTTTGTGATGAGACATGAGTGCTGCCTTAAACCTGAGGTTCCAACAGATACCATATTTTATTCAGAAATCTATTCCGGCGCCGCAAAAAATCTGGTCAGGTCTTGCGGCAATATCAGTATGTACAGACCTCTACATTGAGATTAATGTCAATGTTTATTATTGAGTCAAGTAATTAAATTACTCTTGAATAAGTTACTTTTCAAACAAGATGAAAGTGGCTGGGTTGTTGGCATTTCTGTGTGGAGTTTGCATGTTCTCCCTGTGTTCGCATAGGTTTCCTCCAGGTGCTCCGGTTTACCCCACAGTCCAAAGACATGCGCCATAGGTGAATTGAATAAAGTAAATTTGACGTAGTGTATGTGAATGAGAGTATGTATGGGTGTTTCCCAGTACTGGTTTGCTGCTGGAAGGGCATCCGCTGCGTAAAACATATGCTGGAATAGTTGGCAGTTCATTCCGCTGTGATGACCTCTGATAAATTAGAGACTAAGCTGAAGGAGAATGAATGAGTGAATAAATTTAAAAACAACTTTAATGATGTAATTAGTCATTTATTTATTTATTTCTGAAGTAACATATGGCGGTCAAGACAGTGTAATAGAAATACAGTTTCTATGTGTGGTAAATGTTTTTGCTTGTGAATGGTGCAAGGAAAAACTAGTGTTTACAAATGTAAATAACACCGAATTCTGTGAACCATTACACATGCAATATTCCATTTAAAAAATAAAAATGCAATTTGTTATTAATGATGTCAAGGTAACAATAAAGTGATGTTTTTCATCAACAGTATCCAGCAGCTCTCATGAATCTTGGAGCGATTCTGCATCTCAACGGCAAACTTCAGGAAGCAGAAGCCAATTACCTGCGAGCCCTGCAGCTAAAGCCGGACGACACCATCACTCAGTCCAACCTGCGGAAGCTTTGGAACATCATGGAAAAACAGGGCTTGAGGACCATGGCACCTTGACTTGGACACGTTTGATTACTTCTTCACCTTCGCTGAGGTTGTAACAAAGATGTTCTCTTTGAGCTCTCACTAGTGAGGTAATCGACATCCTAGGGCTGATAAAGAACTTCTTCAAAACCTGGGTTACCTCATGTGACACTTAAATGTCTGACAAAACGGAACATTCTGGAACAGTCTAGACCTGCGGCACTCACCAGACATGCCGGGAGTCTTTAACTTGAAGTGGCCCATAGATACATACTTGAAGTCTCATGCTAAATTAGATGGCAATTAGTTAGTCGACTCATAATAGTCTTGAAGGGCAATATTTGTCCTGAGGCTGAATGAAATTGAGAAGGAACGAGTGCTACAACCCCCATGAGGCTATACTCTGCATGTACAGTACATTTCCATGTCATTTCTCCATTCTTATGATTGGAATCATTAATATTTAATGAACACATCATGACGGAAACATGTAGATGCTTTAAAAAAAAAGCGTACAGTCTGAATATCACAAAATAATAAGAAAAGGCCAAACATGTTCTCATGAAATCATTCTCACTGCGAAAAAAAAATAATTATATATATATCCATCGTGTCAAAATGACTTGTGAGGTTGTAAATGTATTGACACTGTAAATATGAGCACGGATGATTTGTGAAGTTTGGTTTTTGTGATCTGGAATTTCGTTTGGACATTTATAGTATGTCGATATTTCATCAATCCATACATGCCATGCCCACAACACTCGATAACTTGTGGGATCAACAGATTGAATCCATATAAATGCCAAAAATGACAGGAAAGGAAAGTTCAGTAAGCTATGTAGCCTGTAGGACATCTTAGTGAAATGAACTTGCAAGCTCTCTTTGCCTTACTTTGCAAACATTTTGTTTTTAACTAATTTGAAACGGGGATGAGAATTTTAAGATATTCATCAGACTGTTTTTTTTTTTAACTGTTTCACTACTATCCAAAAGTTTGGGATTTGGGATGAGTATTATTTTAAAGGGGTCATAGTCTCTATACTCAAAAGACATTGTCACATATCAGATATGCTGTTTAAAATATTTGACAAATATGCCCCCGACTGTTGACACAACATTGAGAGACACAAACAATATTTGGACATTTTTTAACAATTATGTACCATTCAATCTGACATCCTCCTTTCTGTGCACACATCATGTCTCACAGGACTTTGAAACCAATGCAGATGTTTTGTGTGTTGCTGTTAGAGTAACTGAGGCACTAGCTGTAAAAGCTCCACCCTCTTCTGAAAAGTAGGTGTGGAGCAGCATTTCATTAGCATTTAAAGTGACACTTGTGAAAACAAGAAACAGATTCCAAATAATGGCACACTGTACACTTACAGCATGGTGTTCCATCTGTTGTTACTAGATGAAACTTCACAGACACATTCATGAGAAACCTGTAAGTTAAATGGTATTTTGTAAAATATATACAGTTGAAGTCAGAATTATTAGCACCCCTGAATTATTAGCCCCCCTGTTTATTTTGTATTTATTTTTTGTTTAACAGAGAGATTTTTTTAACCTATTTCTAAATGTAATACTTTTAATAATTCATTTCCAATAGCTAAATTATTTTATCTTTGCCATGATTACAGTAAATAATATTTGACTAGATTTTTTCAAGACACTTCTATACAAGTTAAAGTGACAGTTAAAGGCTTAACTGGGTTGATGAGGTTAACTAGGCAGGTTAGGGTAATTAGTCAAGTTATTGTTTATTGTTATTTTGACCTTAAAATGTTTTTTAAAAAATAAAAAACGGCTTTTATTCTTGCTGAAATAAAACAAATAAGACTTTCTCTAGATGAAAAAATATTATCAGACATACTGTGAAAATTTTCTTGCTCTGTTAAACATCATTTAGGAAATACTTAAAAAAGAAAAACAATTTAAAGGAGGGCTAATAATTCTGACTTCAACTGTATAGTGCTGATCATAAAGGAGTACAATAAGTAATATTCATTGAAAATGAATATGTTTATCCATTTTTCAGTAAATATTTTGGTGTATTTTAATAAAACAGGTTTATTAAATAGTTATATTCATTAAATAATAGTTTGGTCACCTAACATCCTTAGAAATAGAAAGATAATACATTTAAATTTAAACTAAATATTACAAAAAAATAATAAAGTTTTATATATTTTTGTTTCTTTTGATTTTATTATTTAAAAAAATATTATTTTGTAATATTTATTATTTTCCCTAACATATACATTTAGATGTACTAATTTTTGTCCTAAGTTATTTTGTTAGATTAGCTACAGATTTGGCTACAGTACTGACTGATCAGATATAAATACACAAAAACATTATTTTAAAGCATTTAAAGGGATATTTGTCAGGGATGTACTCGTATACAATGTAAATAATGCTGGCTCCACACAGTTCCTTCATGTTATCCCAACACAAATCGATTAAGTTAACTATATGGTTTTTACAAATTTAGTACCGATTAAAGTAAGATAGAACATTAAATAATTAAGTAAAATGGTTCAGCTCATTTTAAATAAGTAGTTTGAACAAGCAGTAAAAATACTTTTTAAGTGTATGCTCGGCATTATATATATCACTGCTTTAAATACTTCTATTTAGCAAACACACATTAAATTGATCAAAAAAAAGTATCGGTAAAGTGGTTTGACATCGCAAGAATAAATTACATTTTAATATATAATCAAATACTTATAAATTGTAATTGGTAAACAGTATTACTCATTCTTTTTTTTTCCCCACTCTAGTTTTGACATAGTCCCTTTAAGGTAAGTCATTTCACTCAACTGCCATCTTTGAAATGCCTCACGGGCATTATTCTCAGGCATTCTGTTTGAATGGGGAAACATCAAATTCTCCAAAATTGCTTGCCAAGCTTACGATACATTTCATATTTGGAATCACCAATAAAATTCTACAGCAACTGTCTCTTTAGTTTTTTTCTAAACGTTTAAATCACACAAAATCTGCAGAAACTCGTGTCTGGTCCGAGCCCTTCCCCTGGTGAATCGTCAAGCTACAGCAAACACTGATTGGCTCCTGCAATAGATGGTGGGGCTTCATTCGCCATATCGTTACACTTTTCCCCATTCAAAACTATACGAGTGACATGTCTTGTGTATTCTAGAGTCTTTGGTTTTACTCAATGAAATGTCTTTGTGAGTATAACAGACTTCTTTCAAAAGCATTCAAATATCCCAAACATTTGAATGGTGGTGTTTATTATATCTGAACGTACATAGGCATGAACCCAATAGTAATGTCTTTTTTTGACAGAACTGGTTCAACAAACTGTAAAGGCAAAGCTTTGACCGTTAACTCCTAACCAAATACAAATCCGTTTACTTGTTGCACTCATCTAACAATACACAGCCATAGATCTGTAAGGGATTGTTTATAAGTAATGTTGGTTTAATATTCTTTTCTTCTATGTTTAAGTATACAAATGGAACCTAATATATAAAATGACGTATTTTACAGTTTGATGTTTTCACTTAAACATGAAAATCACAAAATGGCAAGTACTTGGTTAGTTCGGTCAGCATTTTTTTTGGTCTCATGTTTGTCTTTGTTCCATTTTTGCTCTAGCTTTGTGTGTGTATTTAATTAGAATAATTGAAAAGCTCTTATTTGGTGATCACACCAGTTTTTATGAAGGATTTTTATGATGGCTTCTCATTCACATTGTTCTTAACCAAAAATGAAATTCTGTATTTGTTTTCTCGCCCGAAAACCCATATTACTTATGTTGAAGAAATTTAGAAGGATCTTTTTCATTCAGTTGCAGTGGTGCTATTTTTTTACATTTACTGAAGCTATACGATTATGAAGCTGTACTTTTATGTTGCTGCTTTTGCAATACGCAAGTCCCCCTCCATTAACAACATAATATTGTTAAAGTAAGGAATGACATGAGAGTAAATGAATAACAGAATTTTTATTTTTCGTAGGACTGTCCCTTTAAAAGTCTAGCAAATGTCATGTCGGACGTCTGAGTCAGTATTAACTTATTCCCTTTTATGTTGTCTTGATTGAAAAAGAAAACAGCTGGCTCTGTTATATGTAAAAAAAAAAAAAAAGTGTTTGAATATTTCTGATTTAAGGTGCCCTTTTTTAAAACATTTTAAGCTTAACTAATTCGTCCATTGTTTCATTGAGACGTGTGTAATGGGATCATTTGAAAGGGAATAAACCCAGAATTTGTCATGCATTCGTCTTCACGGTTTCTCAGATCGGTGTGTTTCTTCACATGTCTGTTGTCTTCTCTTTCCCTCACAGTGTTTTTTTTCTCCAGGATACAAGATAGTCAGATACATAACATTATCAGATATTGTATTTAATAATTTAGTTGACATTTTATTAGAAGTTTAATAAATAATTTTTTATATAATCCAGCCAAAAGTTAAAACACTTTTATTATTTATTCACCCTCTTTTCATTCCAAAGCTGTATGACTTTTTTTTTTCTTCAACAGAAGAGCAAATAATACTTTTTAAAATGTTTTGGGACAGCATGAGAGTGAGTAAAGAATAAAAACATTGTTTTGTTTTTTTGGGTGAACTATTCCCTTAAAGTGCCTCTATTATGCTTTGTGTAGTGTGTGATATAGATTGTAAAACAGCTAAATGTTTAAAAATACATGATTATGAAGCGTTACTGTCTCCTAAATGAAAGATCAGCCCAAGAAAAACATCAATTTTGGCCCTCAAATGCTGAAATTTTATAAGAGTTTGATTTGTGTTGTCGATAACTTGAGAATACACTGGGTCTCATTAACTATTTAAGATTATTTGTATTTGTATGCACATTTAACTTACTTTGGTTATAGGAACTAAACCCCCAGACTGGTATCCCATGCCCTAAAGTGGTTTGGCATCATATAGTTATAAGAACTAGCCATCAGGCTGGTTTGAAGGTTTTTGTTTGTTTGTTTGTTTGTTTGTTTGTTCGTTGGAGCGGGTAGCTCTAGGAACTTAGTTACAAAACTGGCTAGCAGAACTTAAACTAACCAAAAGGCTGGTTCACGCAGAACTAAAGGTACTTTCACAACAGATAGCTCTAGAAACTTAATTAGCAGCTGGTTATTATAGGAACTTAGTTATAAGAACTAGCCACCAGACTGGTCCACCCAGAACTAAAGGGGCTTTTTACATCAGATAGCTCTAAAAACTTGGTTATAGGAACTAAACAACAGGCTTGTTTAAGCAGAACTAAAGGGGTCTTCACAGCGGGTAGCTATGAGAACTTAGTTATAAGAACTAACCGCCAGACAGGTCCACACAAAAATAAAGGGGCTTTCACAACGGAGAGCTATAGGAACTTGGTTATAGGAATAATCCAGGCCAGTCCCCCAAAGGCTACAGGGGCTTTCGCACCAGGTGTCTATAGGAACTTGTTTTATAAAACGGGCTAACTGTTCAATTCCCTTGAGAGCTAAAGGGGTTTTGTAGCAGGTACAGTAGCTATAGGAACTATGTGTTTAGAACTAGACATTAGGCTAATCTCCCAAGAACTAAAGAGTCATTTGCACTGGGTAGCTACAGTATAGGAACTTTGTAATAGGATTAAGCCACCTGGCCAGTCCTACAAGGACCACAGGTGCTTCCACACAAAGGTGTCTATAGGAACTTGTTTTTAGAAACTGGCTACCAGGCCAAGTCCTCTGAGAACTAAAGGGACTTTTGTGCTATAGGAATTTAGTTACAGGAGCTAGCCACCAGGCTATTCATTTAGGATTTAAAGGAGTTTCACATTATTAACTAGTTATAGGAACTCAGCATTAGAACCAAGTCAGCAGACTAGTCCCTAAAAACTAAAAGTTCTCCTCAGACCATTTTACTGTTTTTATTCAAGTTTGTGTGCATGTTTTGTCACTGAGACCCAGTGTTTCTGTTCTGTTTTAGCGAATCCACTTTGCATGCACTCCCAGAAGTCAGTTAAATTGATACAGTAAGACAGATGTTGTTGTCTCTACTTACAGTATATGACTTATTTTAAAAGTACAGAGGAAGCCTCCGGAACTGAAATTTAGATATGGTATTGGGCTTGACGCAAATCATTAAAAACAGACAGAGCCATCTGACAAATCAGAGCAAAGCATTTACAAAATGATACATCTGTCATAGCAAAATAGGGGCATTTTAATGCATATGACTATATTTGCATTGTTATTAAAGTAGATTAAAATAAAGGAAACCCTCTTATCATGTCGTCAAAGGTTGTGAAATCCCCATAGCACATTACCATAGTAAAACGCATACTTTTATTCAGTTGTAACGTGATTGTCTTGTCTGTCATCCACAGTGTAAGATATCTGAGTAGTTTCTAGTGGTCCTGGTTGTGACTGCATCAAACTGTGCTGTTTTTAGCTGTAGCCAGTGTGTCAGTTTTCACATTGATCGAGACTCCTGCACCCGTACGAGTGAGTGTGTTCATGTCTTTCCTCAGGGATTTCGAGTGCTGGTGTTATCGAAGTTGGTGCTCTC